ACATTGGCATTCTTGCTTGTTGCAATGGCCGTGGACAGATATATTGCTATTTACAAGCCACTGCAATATTTAATTATCATGAAGAAAGGAATTTGCATAGGATTGGTAGTAGGAGCATGGCTGAGTGGCTTTGCTCACTCCATTATCCAGATTGGAATTCTCCTTCAGCTCCCCTTCTGCAAATCCAACATTTTGGACAATTTCTACTGTGACATTCCTCAGCTCATCAAGCTGGCATGTGCTGATACTTACACAACCGAACTTCTGATGGTTTGTAATAGTGGGCTTCTCCTGACATTGATCTTCTTTACTTTGCTGGTGTCATATACCGCCATCTTAGTAAAGATTCGGAGGCACATCACTGAAGGGAAGCACAAGGCTCTTTCTACCTGTGCTGCCCAAGTCACAGTTATGAGTTTAATTTTTGTTCCAGGGATGGTCATTTATGACCGCCCTTTCAAGATATTTCCAGCAGACAAGATTGCTTCAGTCCTCTATACTGTTTTGACACCAATGCTGAATTCCATGATCTTCACTCTTCGGAATAAGGAGATGAAACTCACCATTAAGAAGCTCATGAGGAAATGCTGTCTTTCTAAAACGACAGAAGCACCACATTCTATTTGAGAGAGACATGCAGGATAATTGAAACATCAGGCCCCCACTTTGTGGCAGAGCTCTTTAAATTAGAACATGTAAGGAGCAGAATGTGAACAGTTTCTGACCACATTTTGCTTTATTTCTGCACAAATGACTAACTTATTCTGAGTTATTCCAGAACTCAGAACACACATATGATTTGCTTCAAGAGTATATAGCCCTGAGCAAGACACATATATTGGCTCTGTTCTTTTTTTTCCCCTGTAAGATATTGTTGTTCTTTGTGTTCTGTGTATCTATTTTCAAACTTTATTGATAAAATGTATTGCTCGTCATTTTTTTAATGCTTTTGTCACCATTCTGTCATCAATTTTGCAAGTGTTTGATATGTTTTATGACTATGCATTGTATCCTGTATAGTGTAAACTGATGGAAGAAATCTAAGTACTTGTGCTTATTTTAACCATTTTACTACCTACAGGCTACAAGTTTTGTGCTTTGGTCCTGGAATTTAAAATCACTTGCTCTGACCACTTCTAAATGATTTTCAAGCCTCCTAGTAATTCTTTGCAAGTAGAATTTGACTGTCTGTCCTACCTCTTTTCAGTCCCCTGCACAACAGAATCAGTCCTCTAGTATTGATATCAGTGATATCCATCAAGACTGCAGTTGGGTTGACTAATGACACCATGACAGCCTTGAAATCTCTAGAATCAAGGAGACCATAATAGTCCACTTCATAAAGACAGTCTGACATTCTTACACACAATGGTGATGAAGTCATAGTAACAATTTTGGTTGAGGATGACATCATTCAATTATATATATATATATTTTCTCTCCCCATGAAAGTATTCTACCTAATCAAGCATCAAAGCCTTTTTTATTTCTCCTCCTCCCCCATCCAGTTCAGTTTCTATTGTGTTGCCATTTATAGCATGGCATAGGTCCAGAAAGTTAAATCACAACTGGTGATTAGTGAAGTGTATTTTAATCAGAACAGAGAGTTATGTCTGTCCATATTGTCTCAGGTCAACATATCTATAGAGAATTATCAAAAACTACCCTTGGTTTGCCCAAGCTGGAGTATATTCCATCTATATATAATATTCAAGGAGAATTGCCCTTTTATGTTGTTAGGAAAATATTTATTAGCAGCAGCTATAGGTAGACCTTAAAAAGCTATTTCTAGTAACTATTAGTTTTCTGCTTGCTCATAATTTCCCTTAGCTATGAAACCTGAACTCACAAATAAGTTATGATTTTCAGAAGTATCAGGAGAAGGCAAATAAAACCATAGTACATATTGAACTGCATTCAGAAAACACCTTATCCAGTATATAAAACATTTTCTCAGATAAGGCAAATGGATAACTCTTGGATAACTGAATTAGTAAGATAAATCAAGGAAATAAAAGTAAGCCTTACCCAAAAGGGGTGAAAAAGAGGGGATTTAGATTTATAGAGAAACAAGTAAACTAATGAATGAAGATTCAATAACTGATATATCAAAACAGAGTTGGGGGGGGGGGTACGACAAGCAAGGGGTTAAAGACGGGAAAAAATTTTTGGAAAAAGACCAAAAAGCACTCAGTGGTTCTGAGACTACACTGAGGATGTGTCAACAACAACAACAACAACAACAACAACAACAACAACAATAATAATAATAATAATAATAATTATTATTATTATTATTGGATTGTCCTGAGTAATGAAATATCTATCTGTCTGTCTGTCTGTCTGTCTGTCTGTCTGTCTGTCTATCTATCTTTATTGAACTTGGAGTTTCTTATAGATGAACATATCTATTTAATGGCTAAAAAAAAAACAGAATCAGAAACAAGCAAACTAAAGAAAAGGGACTTCTTGTAAGCGATATTGGTACCAAGTATTACTGTAACCCTTGAATAGTTGTGAGAGTAGTAGTGTGTCAAACTTCGTACATTTTCCCAGTCCAAACTTATCCACATAGGTAACACATGCCCCCAGGATTGCATAGGAGCCTCAAACTATTTCTGAGCCCCTTGTAATTTAGACATTGGAAACTGTAGTGCAAGACTGAAAGAAAGTTAGTATAGGAAGGAAGGAAGGACCACAATCTCCCTTCCCTGACACTGTCAAGGTGTGCAATCTTGCCCTACCATCTCTATCTTCATCTCCTACATAACCTTCAGTCCTTCTTCAACTCATTAAATTCAATATCCAGTTTGCTGCCCAACCCTACTTTACCCTCTGGGAGAAGTCAATTTCAGTGGTAAAAAATTCAGGTTTCTAGTGATAGCAAAAGTAATAACTAATAATTGCCAGGAAACATACATACATACATACATACATACATACATACATACATACATAC